CGTACGTACGTAGTAGTAGTAGTAGTAGTAGTAGTAGTATATTTATTTATTATTATTATTTTATTATATTATTATTTTCTTCTTTTTTTTTTTTTTAGGTGTATCGAGTTACTGTGTATCAGGCAGGGGAGAGTGATACAGATTCATTTGAAGAAGATCCTGAAATTTCCTTAGCTGTAAGTATGCATTTACTTTTTTGAGGAATCAAAAAGTAACACTGAGGTCAAGATTAGAAAAATATGTCTAGTCTACTTCCTGACGTGAGGTAATTTTTATAAAGTTAAAAATGTTTTAAAGTTTTAATGATTTAGAGTATTTTTGTTCTTTTATTGGGTGGGGAATCTGTTGATACTTTTTAGGTTTTTTGTGCTGAAATTTGAACTTTTGAAGAACTTTATTATGGAAAGTATGTACAGCATAGAGAATAGTATAATGTATGTCCTTTGTGCTTAACACCTAGCTCTAACAGTTAACCAACATTTTGCCACTCTTATCAAATATAAATACTTTTCATATTGATTTGTATTAGAGAATGTGGTAGGATTTGCTCTTAAATCAGGACTTAAACATTAACATTTCATACTTCACAGGGTTCCTGAGATACTGTTCTTTTTTAAGTTAAATATTACTGCTTTAATTTTTGTTCTTAATACTGCCTTTTATTATATTTGAATAGGAAATCTCATTTTTCTCTTTTCTGAGACAGAAATAACAATTATCCAAATAACAATTATCCAAATTTTAAAATTTTAAGAAAATATTTTGCTATATTAGAAAACAACTAACTAGTTGATTCATTTGAAATCAGGTTGAGTGAAATATTTTAAACGTAGGTCTTGAAATTTATTGCTTTCCTCCCATATTACAAGATCTTTGTCTTTGGTTTTTATCAGTGGAGACCTACTTTTCCAGCTTGAAGGAACCAATGTGGGAGAATGAATGGTCTCCACCCTTATTGCTAATATCTTATATCATTTGTCAGGCAACTTAAAATGATTACATTATTCATGGCAAGATAAGAAGGACCTCTTACGGCAAGTTTACATGTACAGTATCCTCAGGCAAGGACCATGCTTCTTTTAAGGAAGAAAGATCTGTTCAGTAAAGAGGCTGGGGATGTGGGGGGGTTTGTTATCCAAATTGCATAGTGGGTGGAAAGGTTTGGGAAATAAGTTGGGATAAGGATGAAGCAATGAGCAGTTACAGAGATGAGAGCACAGAAAAGGATAGAGAAGTAAGGTGCATATGTTTTGAATAGTGACAGGGATGGCAGAGTTTAGCTGGAAGTGATTTGCTGAGAAGAATGTTTTAGCATTTCCTTTGTGGATGAAGTTAGGGAACACCCAGTTGAGCCCTGGTTTTAGAACCCTTCTAAGGGAGTCTTAATCAATGGCAGATTGTATGGTTGTTTTGTCTAGTGATTTGGTGGACTCTGGGCACGGTATCAGAGTGGGTCCCTGATACTTGAACAGAATGGAGTGGGTCCAGGCCTCATTACAGAGAAGGATCTCATAGCAGTTGCTTCAACTAAATGAACTTACTGTGTCTTTGTCCCTGAACAGGTAACTTTATAGGTATTTGGTTAAGGTTATGGTGAATACTTTTTTTGTTCTAGAATTCTTCAGCATGGTTTGGCTGGGAAAAAAAGTATAATCTCATGCTTGAGGAAAGACTGTTAAATGTTGAGTGTTTTATAAAAAATGAAATGCTGAAAATTGAGCTGCATAACACATTTTACCTTAGACATACTGAACAAGTTGCTAGCATTGGTATGACTAGTCATTGAAGGGTTACAGAAACTAACTGTCTTGTTTCATTGAAGGACTATTGGAAGTGTACTTCCTGCAGTGAAATGAATCCTCCCCTTCCACCTCATTGCAACAGATGTTGGGCCCTTCGTGAAAATTGGCTTCCTGAAGATAAAGGGAAAGATAAAGAGAAAATGCCTGAGAAAGCCAAACAAGAAAACTCAACACAAGTAGAAGAGGGCTTTGATGTCCCTGACTGTAAGAAATCTACAGTGAATGATTCCAGAGAATCATGTGTTGAGGAAAAAGAAGATAAGATCACACAAGCCTCCCTGTCCCAAGAAAGTGAGGACTATTCTCAGCCGTCAACTTCTAATAGCATTATCTATAGTAGCCAAGAAGATGTCAAAGAGTTTGAGAGGGAAGAAACACAAGACAAAGAAGAAAGTGTGGAATCTAGTTTTCCCCTTAATGCCATTGAACCATGTGTGATTTGCCAAGGTCGACCTAAAAATGGTTGCATCGTCCATGGCAAGACAGGACATCTTATGGCTTGCTTTACATGTGCAAAGAAGCTAAAGAAAAGGAATAAGCCCTGCCCAGTATGTAGACAACCAATTCAAATGATTGTGCTAACTTATTTCCCCTAGTTGAACTATCTATAAAAGTAGAATTATATATTTCTAACTGTATAACCCTAAAAATTTAGACAACATGAAATTTATTCCTATTTTTTTACCTGTAGCAAAACAAGAAAATAATAGGCATGTAGATTTCATTATAGTGTAATTTACCTACTATATGAGAAAGGTGAATATTCCTTTTATGAAAATGTCCTTTCTGTTAATATTTTATATTTTGATTTTAATATAGTTTGAATTGGGTATACAGTTCATCCTTTACCCCACTACCCTTCATATTTTAAATAATTTCCACTTACACGTATCTCTTACCATACCAAAGAGACTGGAGGATGAGAAGTACATTTTCACTAATAGCACCAAACATAACTACCTGTCTTTATCTAGAAAGAGTATCTTAAGAGGCTCTGAAAGACCAGAGAAACTAAGGTTTGGAAGTTCTTAAGAGTATTTAATTTTTAAGTATTAACTCTTTCACACAGACTTCCTCCTTACATGAAAGATCCTAAATAAGTTACTTTTAAATGTCCCACTTACATATGCTCTAAAAGATCAGAATAGGAATGTAGAGATCAGTGAAGTCACAAAGGCTAATTCAGAAGTGTAACTAACAGAAGTACTATTTTTATGCTAGCTGGAAATGTCATAAATACTCTTTAATTGTCCAAAAATTATACAGCACTTGCCTTTAAGAGTGGTGATGTCAGAATATAAAATTCTAAAATAATTCTCAAACTGCATAGATTAGCATCTTGATTTATATTAAATCTTCAACAGAATAGTGAGAATGACAATTTTGACGTAAGGTCTGTGTTTTTCTCCCATGTATGACAGTTGCACCTACTCCAATGAAGATAATAAAATCAGCTGAACTGTAGGTTTAGAAGTGAGGGATAATTGCGCACAGCAAGTTTGTGTACCAGTTACAGAACGTATTAAACTTTAAAAACAAATAGCACACATACACATATGACTTACCATGTATAGATAAGTAGGTAATGGCTGAAGGGATCAGTACCTTAGCCAGAGTGGTCCTCAAATACAGCAAAGCTTTATTAATTTGGGATTTATAATACTTGAACTAAGTAGAATTGATCCTCTCTGAAGAGAGAAATAAAATGAGATTCTAAACACTACGGTCAACCCTTCCTGTTAGTTCTGCATCCATGCATTCAGCCAACCATGGTTTGGAAGTATTTTTTTAAAAAACAGAATTTCAGAAGGTTCCAAAAAGAAAACTCGAATTTGCTGTGCACTGGCAACTATTTATGTAGCGTTTGCATTGTATAAGGTATTACAAGAAATCTAGAGATTAAAGTATATGAGAGGGTGTGCATAGGTTGTATGCAAATACTAGTACCATTTTATACAAGGGCCTTGAATATCCACAGATTTTGGTATCCTGGGGGTCGGGGGACATCCTGAAACCAATCTCCCATGGATACTAAGGGACAGCTACATTTACATTATATTATGCAGTGATTATGCTATTTACAGAGCATTGAAATTGGTGCAAATAGTCTCATCCATCTAGGCATTACTAATGTATTCTTGCTTGTCTAAATTTTTAGGTGTAGCTTATTTATTGATTTACAAATAAAAGATCTATTCAATGTTTAAGAATTGTTTCAAAATGTGATTATTATTGGATCTCATGAACAATTTTCCCATAATAATGAGTTTTTTCTTCCAGCTTTATTGAGATAGAAGCAACATGCAGCAAGCACTGTAGGTTTAAAGCATACAGCATGATTTGACTTAAGTATAGTGAACATTCGTTATCTCATAAATACAAAATTAAAGACAGAAAAAAATGTTCTTTGTGATGAGAACTCTGAGAATTTACTCTTAACAACCTTCATACATAACATACAGCAATGTTAATTATATGTATCATGTTATATATTACATCTATCATACTTGTTAGTCTTAACTGGAAGTTTGTACCTTTTGACTGCCTTCGTCCAATTCCCCGTACCCATTCCCCACCTTTGGTAACCATAAATCTGATCTCTTTTTCTATGAGTTTGTTTTGTTTTTGTTTTTTGAAGTATAATTGAGTTAAAATGCTGTTGGTTTGTGTTTTATAACAATGATTTTTGTATTTCTATACATTTTTAAATGATCACTTCAGTAAGTCTAGTTATGGTATGTTATTGTACAAAGATATTACATAGTTATTGCCTGTAATCCACACTTATGTATGTTTCATACCCATGACTCATACTTTGGAACCGAAGGTTTTTATTTAATCTTCCTCACTTATTTCATTCCTCTCCCCAACTCCCTTTTCTTGGGCAACCGCCTGTTTTTTCTCTGTATCTGTAACTCTTGTTTTGTTGTGTTCCTTTGTTTTTTAGATTGCTTATATAAGTGAAATCATACAGTGTTTGTCTTTCTCTGTCTGATTTATTTCACTTAGCATAATACTCTCTAGGCCCATCCATATTTTTGCAGATGGCAAGATCTTGTTCTTTCTTATGGCTGAGCAATATTCCATTTTGTGTGTATGTGTATGTATACGCCGTTTTCTTTATTCATTTTTTGATGGACACTTGGGTTGCTTTCCCATATCTTGGCTGTTGTAAATAGTACTGCCATGAACATTGGGGTTGATCTATCTTTCTAAATTAGTGGTTTTGTTTTTTTCCGGATGTATACCCAGAGTGGAATTGATGGATCATATGGTAGCTCTCTCTACTTTTACTTCTTTGAGGAATCTCCATATTGTTTTCTGTACTGGCTGCACCAATTTACACGCCCACCAACAGTGTACAACGGTTCCCCTTTTCTCCACATCTTCACAAACACTTGTTAATTGTTGTCTTGATAATAGCCATTCTGACAGGTGTAAGGTGATACCTTGTGGTTTTGATTTGCATTTCTCTGATGATTAGTGATGCTGAGCATCTTTTCATGTGCATGTTGGCCATCTATATGTCTTCTTTGGAGAGAAGTCTTTAGATCCTCTGCCCATTTTTTAATGGGATTGTTTGTTTTTTTGATAATCAGTTGCATGACTTCTTTGTTTAGTTTAGGTATTAACCCCTCCCTTATCAAATATATCATTTGCAAATATTTTCTCCCATGGCTTTTCGATTTGTTTCCTTCACTGTGCAAACGCTTTTTAGTTGATTTAGTCACATTTATTTTTGCTTCTGTTTCCCTTTCCTGAGGAGACAGCCAAAAAAAAAAAATCACTAAGACCGATGTCAAAGAGCATACTATTTATGTTTCCTTCCAGAGGTTTTATGGCTTAAGGTCTTAAATTTAAGACTTTAATCTATTTAGAATTTATTTTTGTGCATGGTGTGAGAGAGTAGTCCAGTTTGATTCTTTTGCGTGCAGTTGTCCATTTCCCAACATGACTTATTTAAGATGCTGTCTTCCCATTGTATGTTCTTGCCTCCTTTGCCATAGATTAATTGACCATAAGTTTGTGAATTTATTTCTGGGCTCTTGTGTTCCATTGCGTCTGTTTTTGTGCCAGTACCATACTGTTTTGATGACTGTAGCTTTGTAGTGTAGCTTGACCTAGGGCACGAGAGACCTCCAGCTTTGTTCTTTTTCTCAAGATTGTTTTGGCTATTCAGTGTTCTTTTTAATGTTTCCATACAAATTTTAGAATTAGTTCTAGTAGTTCTGTGAAAAATGCCACCGGTATTTTGATTAAAGATTGCTTTGATGTGTAGATGGGTGGTGTGGTTATCTTAACAGTATTCATTCTAACAATCCATAAACACAGTATATATTTCCATCTGTCTATGTCATCTTCAGTTTCTTTCATCAGTGTTTTAGTTTCTTGAGTACAGGTGTTTTACCTCCTTAGTTATATTTATTCTTAGGTGTTTTATTCATTTTGATGCAGTTATAAATGAGATTGTTTTCTTAATTTCTCTTTCTGATAGTTTATTGTTCATGTATAGAAATGCAACAGGTTTCTGTATATTAATTTTGTCTCCTGCAACTTTGCCGAATTCATTGAGCTCCAGTAGTTTTTTGGTGGCATCATGAGGATTTTCTATGTGTGGTAAAGTCATGTCATCTGCAAACAGTGAGTTATATGTCTTCCTTTGCAATTTGGGTTCCTTTTATTTCTTTTTCTTAACCTGATGGCTGTAGCTAGGACTTCCAATACTATATTGAATAAAAGTGGCAAGAATGGATATCATTGTCTTGTTCCTGATCTTAGAGGAAATACTTTTTGCCTTTTCACCACTGAGTATGATGTTAGCTTGTCATAGATGTCCTTTGTTATTTTGAAGTATGTTCCTTCTGTACCCATTTTGTTAAGAGTTTTTTATTTAATCATAAATGTTGAATTTTGTCAAAAGTTTTTCTACATCTATTGAGATGATCATATGATTTTTATTCTTCACTTGGTTAATGTGGTGTGTCACACTGATTGATTGGTGTATATTGATCTATCCTTTCATCCCTGGGATAAATCCCAGTTGATCCTGGTGTATGATCATTTTAATGAATTGTTGAATTCAGTTTACTAATATTTTGTTGAGGATTTTTGCATCTGTATTCATCAGTGATACTGGCCTGTAAGTTTCTTTGTCTGGTTTGGTATCAGGATGATACTAGCCTTGTAGAATGAGTTTGAAAGTGTTCCTTTCTCTGCGGTTTTTTGAAATAGTTTGAGGATAGGTGTTAACTCTTCTCTAAGTGGTAGAATTCACTTGTGAAGTCATCTGGTCCTGGACTTCTGTTTATTTGGGAGTTGTTTTATTACTGATTCAGTTTTATTACTGGTAATTGATCTGTTCGTATTTTCTGTTTCTTCCTGGTTCAGTCTGGGGAGTTTGTACATTTCTAGGAATTTGTCCATTTCTTCGAAGTTGTCTACTTTATTGGTGTGTAATTGTAGTAATCTCTTACAGTGCTCTGTAATTCTGTGGTATCTATTACAACTTCTTTTCATTTCTGATTTTACTGATTTGGGCTCTTTTTCTTGTTGAGTGATTTATGAATTTTGTTAATCTTTTCAGAGAACAAGCTCTTAGTTTCATTAATCTTTTCTATTGCTTATTTTGTCTTTTTTTTTAATTTCTGCTCTAATCTTTGTTTTCTTTCCTTCTACTGACTTTGGGTTTTATGTGTTCTTTTTCTAGTTCCTTTAACTGTAAGACTATGTTGTTTATTTGAGGTTTTTCTTTCCTGAGATTGGCTTGTACCACTGTAAATGTTCCTCCTAGAACTGTTTATGCTGCATCCCATAGGTTTTGGATTACTGTATTTTTGTTTTCATTTGTTTCCAGATACTTCTTTTTTGATTTCTTCAGTGATCCATTGGTTGTTTAGTAGCATATTGTTTGGCCTCACACGTACATTTAGTGTGATTATTGATATGTATGTACTTATTGCTGTTTTGTTAATTGTTTTGGGGTTGCTTTTATAGTTGTTTTTGGTCCTTTTCTTGTGATTTGAAGACTATCTTTAGTGTTGTGTTTGAATTCCTTTCTTTTTTCTGTGTATCTGTTACAGATTTTTGGTGTCAGGTTACCATAAAGTTTCTATCTGTCTGTGATTGTTTTAAGTTGCTGATCTCTTAAGTTCAAATGCATTTTAACAATCCTGCATTTTTACTACCTCCTAGCCTCATGGACATCATATTTTATATCTTCTTTGTTTTGTGCATCTCCTAACTAGTTATTGCAGATATTGACAAGTTTTACTGCTTTTGTCTTTTAACCTTACTAGCTTTATACATGGTTGATTGACTACCTTTACTATATTTGCCTTTACTAGTGAGATTTTTCCTTTTATAATTTTCACTTTTCTAGTTACGGTCTTTTTTTTCCCCCACTTAGGAAGTCCCTTTAACAGTTCTTGTAAAGCTGGTTTGGTGGTGCTGAACGCTTAGCTTTTGCTTGTCTGTAAAACTTCTGATTTCTCCATCAAATTTGAATGAAAGCCTTGCCAGGTAGAGTATTTTTTGTTGGCGGTATCTCCCTTTTATTCTTTTAAGTATATTGTGCCAGTCGCTTTTGGCCTGCGGAGTTTCTGCTGAAAAGTCTGCTTATCACCTTTTGGGAATTCTTTTATACTTTCTTTTCCCTTGCTGCCTTTAATATTCTCTCTTTGTCTTTAATTTTTGCCATTTTGATTACAGTGTGTCTTGGTATGGTCCTCTTGGGGTTGATCTTGTTTGGGACTCTGTGCTTCCTGGAACTGGATGTCTGTTTCCTTTCCTAGGTTAGAGAAGTTTACAGCTATTATGTTGTCAAATATGTTCTCTGCCCCTCCCTCTCTCATCCTTATGAGACCCCTATAATGTGAACATTGGTATACTAGATTTTGTCCCAGGGGACTTTTAAATTCGTTTTATAAAATTGAGGTGTACTTGATGTACAATATTACATGTTTCAGGTGTACAACATAGTGATTCACAATTTTCAGTTATACTCCATTTATAGTTGCAAATTATTGGCTGTATTCCCTATGCTGTTCAATATATCCTTGTAGCTTATTTGCTTTATACATAGTAGTTTGTACCTCTTAATCTCTGGGTATACCCCTATCTTGCCCCTCCTCCCTTCCTTCTCCCCACTGGTAACCATTAGTTCATTTTCTGTATGTGAGTCTGTTTCTTTTTTGTTATATTCACTAGT